CCTCCGGCAGACGGCACACGGCACACTATTACGCTAAAAGGGGAGAGTTTAGGCCCCTGTTCCCTCCGGTTCCCTCCGGTTCCCTCCCCTCTCAGCCACAACGGCGGCGTGCCCTTTCCGTCCCGCCGCCCGCAAGGCGTGGCGCGGCGCGGCGCGGCCGGCCCCAGGACTCACTCACGCGACCAATCGAATCGGCAGTCCCAGCAGATGGGCTCTGCCCTCGGCTCTGCCCTCGGCTCTGCCCTCGGCTCTGCCCTATCGGCTCTGCCCTCGGCTCCTCCGCTCGGCAGCCCCACGCCCTCCTTGGCGTGTCCGGAGAGCCGCGAGCAGGCAAGCACCGGGGTGACGTGTCAGTCCGACCGCACCGAGCGCGGGGCGTGACTTGCGGCTGGGTGACAAAGTGCAATAAGGCGAGGGAGACCGACGAGACCCCAACGCCGACCACGCCGTGAGGAAGCGGAGCGCGTGGAGCCTGACGTGCACGGGCTCATCGTCGGTGCAGCGACCACAACTCTTGGGAGCGCCTCTCATCCTGGACACTAGAGTTGCATCGCCGGCCTCCCCTGGGTCGTGCCCAGCCACCTCGCTAATGCCGCAGGCTCTGCCTGCGCTGTCCTTCCCCGCGCATCCCTCGGCTCGGGGGGCGGTAATTAAAACACGACCCTCTGGTCGCCCAGCCCCGCCGCCGCCGCCTCCCGGCGATGACGAGCCGTGAGCCACCCCCTGCGCCCCTACGCCCCCACCAGCTGCATTCCTTGTCTCGCATGATTTTACAAAAGACGTGTACAGCGCTGGGGACTGAACGAGGAAGGTCGTTTCCATCAGCGCGGTGCTCAGGAGCTCAGTAGCTGCCCGGGTGCACATGATGATGCTGCAGAGGGGACCACTTGTAAATTAGCAACACACATGTTTGTCAAGGTGCCTGGTCCGGTGGCAAACCACGCTAGCGAGTGTACCGCAAGCATGTGTGGGGGCCTACAGTCGAGGGATCATCCACAAAGTACGTCCGCCACCTCCCCTTACAAAACTGCCCAGCTTAGCCAATATGAGGTCTCGTAGCGCCTAGTAGGTAGGCAACATATCGACAGCAGTGCATGTGTGTATTGCTGGTTGGCCTACCCTAAGTTTCGCAGGCGCCAAGGTCCTGTAATCTGCCGAACGATTCTAAGAAAAGCGGACGTACGTAATTTCTGGCTGGACGACCTGAGAGGTCGCCCACTTCAAAAAATAAATGTACAACGAGTTGCCGAATTGTCGCGATTTGGGCGAGAGTTGGGCTCACTTTTTAGAGAGTTTTGCGTAATTGCGAATTAAGCGCGAGTTTTCGCAAATGTCCGCGAGTTTTGGCGAGTTTTCGTGAGTTTGATGCGATAAGGGCGTGGGCAAGCGTACAACGAGTTGTCTAGGGGAGGGGGACCCCTCCCCTCGAGCGGCAGAGTCTTGACACTGTAGCTTGATGTACGCCAGACCACGTCTCGTAACAGGCTTTGCTAATTCGCGCGAAACGCTCTTACCTTGCGACGCGACTGTGTACCGAGTGTATCAAAGCCAGTACCGAGTTTAGTGCGTTTGAATGCCCTATTGGGCCGCAGGCCGCAGGGACCTTGCCACCCTACGGGCGAAAGAAGTAGGCAAACCCGCAACACTGAGGTGTTGGCTTCGCTCTGCTTCCACCCGTATACACTAGCTAGGCGTTGACACCCGAGTGGAGTGAAGGCAGGAACTGAAGTGAGACCATTCGCCCACCACCAGTGTTAGGTCCCCAATCCTTTCTCGTCAGACATACAAGAGCAGACAGCAGACAGACGCGGAACTTTATCGCTCAACGAGAAGAAATACACTCTTTCTTGAGGGCATACTGCGAACTACCTTCAACTCTAGGAAAGCACCTAGCGTCTAGACTTGCTCCATTGGCCAAATGAGGCCTGAAGAGGCGAAAGACCAAACAGGCACGCGGAGGGGCGGGTCAGCGTGAGACCGGGCGCGCCGCCGCTCCCACGAGCACTCTCCGCCGGGCGGACAAAGGGGGCCGTGGCGGCATCTGGCGGCCGCCGGCGCAACCGGCGCGCGAGAGTCGGGCCGTTCACTCCGGCTGGGCGGCTCTAGGGGCCGATAGGGAGGGAGAGGAGGACGCGGCTAGAAGTGCCTAGTGCCCCCCCCCCCCAGCACAATGCCGGTAGTGGGTTCCAATACCAGCTGCAGTGTGGCCTGGTTTCCTTGGGGGCCGCTGCGGCCTCCTGCACCGCCTGCACCGGGCCTGCGCAGATACCCCGGCCCCGCGCGCAGGGGGCCACCCTCCGGACGTCCTCCCGCAATACCCCATAGAGCACGCAATACCCCGGGCCGGTCGTCATTGGTCATCACCGCGAGCCGTGGGGCCCGAGGTGCCGGCGGGGCGTGGCGGGGAGAGGCAGGCTGCTGGCGGATTCATTGCGACTAATGAGAAATGTGGCCAGCGCAGCAGTCAGTCGTTTTCGACCGCCTTCCCAGAATCCCTTTGGGCACGCCGCGGCACGCCACTCCTTGGCGTTGTTGGAGGATCGAGAGGGGGGGGGGTCAGAGCGAAAGGGAAGGACAGCGGAAATAACGCGCAGCAGCCACGAGGCACCCGCACACCACGCACTGCCTGCTGAATCACTGGCGGCGCCCCCCCCCTCCTTCCCCCGGCCCGCCAGGCCTCTCTACGCTAGTAAAGCTGGACTATATAGAGCACACGGGCTCGCCCGGCCAGCCTCGGAGATCCGCTGCAAACTAATCTGGCAGCCGAAACGACGCGTTCCGCTACGCAATGGTTGATATTAACTTTCGCGGCGGTTTGGCTTCAGCGTGCTTGAGTATTGGGAGGGGGGGGGGCAGGTGACAGGCTCTGGATGTCAGCGAACAATCCAGAGAAAGAAATTTCTCATAGCAGCTAGCATAAAGGTGAAGGTGCAGTAAACGGCAAGATCCGGGTCACCACTTTCCTTCAGGTCCTGGGTCATGATGTGTGGCCTGCTGGTTCTCTCAAGTCAAGTGCCCAACGTGTGCTATGACCCTCGATCCACGCCCATAGACGTTTTATCCAAAGCGGTT